ATCCTCATCTTCTGTGGAGTTCTCCTCTTCTTCTAGACCTAGAAATGTTGATTTCCCTTGGAGCCTAATCCTCTCACCTTTTCTCTATCTTCAATTCCCAGAAGAAAGCCAGCCTCACAGCATTAAATACCATCTTTATAGAGATGAATTCTATATTTTTTTATTTCCAGCTATGACTTTGCCCTGTCCATTTAATATCTCTATGCAGACAACTACTCAATACCTGAAGCACAATGTGTCCAAAATGGAAGGCTTGACCCCACTGCCTCTCCCCAAGTCTGTTATTCTCTCCCCGCTCCCCATATTACAGAACAACGACACTACTCATCCAGTTTGTTTAGTTCAAAATCTTGGAGTTATCCTTGCCTCCACTCTTTCTCTTATTACCCCATCCCCAGTCTAGCAGTAAAACTTGACCTCTCTACCTTCAACAATATTTCTTACCACTTTCATCCTACCACAGTTGTCCAACAAAGCATTATCTCCTACCTAGATTATGCCAATAACATTCCAATTAATGACTCCTCTTCTTCCACACTTACTGACCTATAGCATATTTATTCTCCACACAGCAACCATTGTTACCCATTAATATGTAAGCCAGATTATTACCACCACTCCCAATTTTCTAATGGCCTCATGTTTCAATTCAGAATAAAATCCCAAGTATTAACTGTGGCCTACAAGGCCAGAAAATATCTGACTCCTGACTATCTCATTTCGTGCCACTTCTACCTCCAATGATAGATACATCACTGCCACACTAAATCCCTTGTTATTCCTTGAACACACCAATGCCTACTCTTGTAATATTCCCTCAAATTGGAAAGCTTATCTCTTGGAAATCCAAATGATTCTATTTCTCATTTCATTCAGGTCATTTATTTTTCTTCTAAGTTCTTGTCATTACCTGAGATTAAATGAGATTCATCCCTAGAACAATATAAACTCTGTAAAGTCAGGAGACTTGTTTATGACATACATACCTACAGTAGGTGCTTCATAAAAACTTGTAGAATCGATGAGGGATTGAATGTATTTATGGTGTTATCCTAGTACTTTTCACATGGTTCTTTATAGAAGTTACAGTGTCTGTCCTCCCTGCAGATTATAAACTCTAAATCCAATGACTAAATCTACCCAAGAACCTACCAGATTGTTACATAGTAGGTACACAAACAACATTTGTGATGGAGTAAATTAACAAATAACCTCATTCTATTTTGTAAGAGAGTAAGGAAATTCTTATGAACAAGGAAAGCTAAGAATGCCAGCTTAATTATGTCACATATGGCAGAAACAAGAGGCAATTCTGCAGGAAAATACCTTGAAGACCTTCTGATTATTTTTGCCCCTTCTTTTAGCATAAAGGTTTCCATCTGCGAGGGAAAGTTTTCTGGAAACAGTAGCTTAGGAAAATACACAACATGTAGCTGTTATAATTGCCATGTTTATACTGAGTTCTGGGGTAGTTGGTCTGAAACAGTCCTGGTAAAAATAAACTTTCAGTGTGTTTCAAGCAATCAGCGTTTCCAATAAGCACTTGTCAACATGACCTTTAGTGGTCTCCAGAACCTCTCCTTTACTAAGTATTTAACTGGCTACTCAACTCCTATGGCTTCCTGTCTGCCTTTAATTTTCCCTCAGCAATTTTACTGCTGGAGCAACAGCAAACTGCACAAGCCATCCTTTGGGAGGAATTCCAACCATAATTTGAAAAGCTCTTGAAATAAGAAAATTGCAGTGGGTTAAGGGAAGAGTAGCATAGTCCCCATATGAGAGACCAGTATAAATGAACTTCACGTTTTAACTCCCTAAATTCCTCTTTTCTGGTGAACATTAAACTACGGTCCCTCCCACATTTTCTTTCCTGGAGAAGTTTTGGCTTTCACAGTAAATCAAGTGCAAATATTTTTTGATGAAACTATTGCCCATGCTCCACAATAATAATAATATTTAGTAGTAATTGTAATTCTTATTAAACTGTCTAAGGTAATCCTAAAGTTCTTAAAGCTCTTATCATGCTCATTCCTGGGTTGTCTTTATTAGACAAATCTCTTCTTCACTAGAAGTGTTTCAATATTAATATAACAAGACATTGTTGAAAAGATTACAAGTAATGATACCAATATAATACAACATATAATAAAATTTTTTTTAGGTAATTTGAAACGAACCAACCATGGTGACATCATGAAGGTATATCTCACCTAGCAGCTGACCTAATCACATATGAACATAAAGAATATTTTGTGAACCTCTCATTTTTTTTTCAGCTTTATTGAGGTATAATTGAAAACACAATTATATTTAAAATGTCCACAGGGACACCTGGGTGGCTCAGTCAGTTAAGTACCTGCCTCTGGCTCAGGTCATCCTCCCAGGGTCCTGGGATCAAGTCACACATTGGGCTCCTTGCTCAGCAGGGAGCCTGCTTCTTTCTCCCTGCTTATGCTCAGTCTCTCTAACAAATAAATAAAACTTTTAAAAAAATAAAAATTTTAAAATGTGCATTATGGTTATTTGAGATATATATATGTATATATGTATATATATAATGAAAGGATTCTCATCATCTAGTTATTAATATTAATTACCTTGCATACTTTTTTTGGTGAGAACACTTAAGTTATATTCTCTTAGAAAATCTCAATTATACACCATGGTATTATCAACTATAATTATCACGTTTTACATCAGATCATCAAATCTTACTCATCTTATAGTTGAAGTTTGTACCCCTTTACCAATTTCTATTTCCCCTATCCTCCAGGCCCTGGCAACTATTTTTCTCTGTTTCTGTGAGCTTGACTTTTTTCCCCCCCTTAAAGATTCCACATATATGTGATACCATGCAGTATTTGTCCCTCTCTGGTTTATTTCACTTAGTGTAATACCCTCAAAGTCCATCCATATTGTCACAAATGGCAGAATTTCCTTATTTTTCTTGCTTGAATAATATTCCACTGTGTATATATACCACATTTCCTTGACCCATTCATCTGCTGATATACACTTTATTTGTTTGCGTATCTTGGCTATTGTGAATAATGATGCAATAAATATGGAAGGATAGATATCTCTTCAAGATGATGATTTTTATTTCTTTGGGTATATGGTAGTTCTGTTTGTAATTTCGTGGCTAATCTCCATACTGTTTTCCATAGAGACTGTACCAGTTAACAGACCCAGGTACAGCACACAAGGGTTTCCTTTTTCCTAACAGCTTTGCAAGCATTTTTTCTCTCTTGTCTTTTTGATGATAGCTACTCTAACACGTATGAGGTGATATCTCATTATAGTTTTCATTTGTACCTCCTCTATGATTAGTGTGGTAAACATCTTTTCATGTACCTGTTGGCCATTTGTATGTCTTCTTCAGAAAATGTCTATTCAGTACCTCTGCCCTCTTTGGATTATCTGGGTTTTTGCTGTTGAGTTGTCTGAGTCATTTATACATTTTGGATAGTAACGCCTCATCAGATATATGACTTGGAAATATGTTCTCTCATTAACATCAGTTGCTTTTGTGTTTTGTTGATGGGTTTCCTTTGTTTCAAAGAAGCTTTTTATATTAATGTAGTCATACTTATTTTTTCTTTTGTTGCCTTTACTTTGGTATTAAATCAAAAACTCAATGCCAACACCAGTGCCAAGGAGTTTACCCACTGTTTTTTCTTCTAGAAGTTTTATAATTTCAGATCTTACATTCAAATCTTTAGGCTATTTTGAGATGATTTTTTTGTACAGTGTAAAAATGGGGGTACAGTTTCATTCTTTTGCATGTGGTTGTCCATTTATTGAAGAAACTATTCTTTTCTCATTGTGAATTCTTGTGTATATACTCTGTTGTAAATTATGTGACCATATATACAACATGGGTTCTGGACTCTCTGCTCTGTTCCACTGATCTATGCATATGTGTTTATGCTAATACCATACTACTTTGATTACTATAGCTTTATAATACAATTTGAAATCAGGAAGTATGATGCTTTCAGTTTTTTCTTCTTTCTGAAGATTGCTTTGGCTACATGTAGGTTCCTTTTCATTTCATTTCTTATAACAGAAAAAGAGAAGATCTTACTAATAGTTTTTATCTCATAAAATATGATAAGCAGTTATGAATCAAATTTGATTTCTTGTCTTAAAATCTCCTTTCAAGGGAAGGTGCCAATAAATAGGGAAAGAGGATAAAAGGATGGTAAAAAGTAGACACCAGTGGACGTAAATCATGATTTCAACTCACAACTTTATACCTCATTAATATCAACCTCCAGATTTCAAAAGGATGAAAAAGATTTGATCAAAACTAAAATAACCAAATAGTAACAATAATAACAAAACCCCAAAACATACAGGTTGGCCTTTATGTCAGAATCTACCACTGTAGTGTTGTAGATGTTACCTTATTACTTTTTCTGCTTAATATTAATTCAAAACTAAGATGGCAATATAAGGGAGTTTCGTAAGGCTCTTTTAAATTAAGTCATTTACTCTCCAGAGACTCTCTATCAATCCATCTTTTGTCCACAATAGTGTCATTTTTCCCAATTTAATCAAAATCTAGATCAAAACTATGTTGGCACCTTGCAAAAGGATTATAAAATTGCTGACTACAATAGTAAGGGGAAGAAATTCCTCATTAAAAAGTAAGTTGAAAAAAATTGGACACAGAGAACAGCTAATTTTTTAAATTTAATTGATGTTGATTTCAGCTATAACCACTATTCTCTAGACCACACTTAAGATGGGAGCCATTTGAGGAAATAGCCCTTTTCAAGTACAAAATACAAGAAGATTTAGCAGACAGAGTTATAGACATTTTTAAGTTTAAACATATAGAAATTAGCACTGGTATTTGTTCTTCTAAGGAAATCATAAGCACTTATCCTCAAAACCATGTTAGGAATCACACTACTGTGAATCTTGGGAGAAACAAAGACTCCTAGGTTGAATGCCCCAGACTATGCGCAGCAGAAGCCCTAGGGCCTTCTCACCTTAAAGGTTGTGGTGCCGTAGAGCTTGGTGGTGTGGACGGTCTCTGGAAGCACATTAGTGATGTTGGTGATGAATTCTTCCAAGTACTTACAGGATTTCTCCAAGTGCGTTGTATTGATGATAATCTGGACAAGCTAGAAAATAACAAGCACATGTAAGAGTCATTTGACTAATCACCCCACGACAAATGGCTCAGTATGAATCAGCTGGTAGAAGAAAAAAGAGGCAGAGAGACAGGGCCCATCTGTATTCTACAGAGGGCTTGTCAGAGCATGGGCTTAGGTTATACTTCCTCTACATAGCTTTCCCTGGCTCCCAAAGCATCCTGTATTCCCCCTACTATATAGGAGCACTTGTCACTCTCTTTTAAAACATATGTCTTCTTCTGTTTAAGAGACTAGACTAAGAACAAAAACTGCTAGTGTTTGCACAGTGCCTGGCAATAAATAATTGCCAAATGAGTTAAATAACACAAACTCCTGCAGAAAGAACAAAAATAACTGAAATCACAAGAAGTTTCAAAACTAGGCATAATGAACAGTGAGATGTTGGAATAGGCTGCAGGATATTAACAAACTGCATTAGCTTATGGAAGAAATAACATGGGCATTACGGTCAGAGAAACCAGCGAATTAACTGCTTACAAATTATTAATCTTAACTTCTCTTAAGTATTTCTTTATCTGTAAACTGTTAATAGTAATTTCTAACTCACACGGTTATTTTGAGGATTCAATATCCTTTTGTTACTACTACTTTCCTTTTCTAACAAGAGAGAGCCTTAAAAACAACAGTGCTGATAAGATTAAAAAGTCATCTATGAATAACTTTGAGAGGAGGATGAAAAAGAATGACTCTTATTGTCAGGATATCATTAAAGTCTATAAAGTAGTTCACAATTCATTTTCTTACATTGTCTTCCCAGCAACCTGGAAAACTAAGTTAAGTGGGCATAATTATTGCTTCCGTTTTACTAAACAGAAACCAAAATGAAATGATTTTCTCTAGATCACAGAACCAAAATGGAATTAGGACTCAATCCAAGTCTTCTACCTCAAATTATGGACTCATCAAAACAACCTGTGGTAAAGTCTTTTGGCATAAACACAAAATGGCAGCTCTGGAGTGTTGCACACTTAGGTACATGAGGCTGAACTATCACATTCTGGGTCTGCCATCAACTAGACCTCTCCATACTTTGATTCTACTCCATGTAGAAAACAAATTTAAATTTTAAAAAAGGAGGGGTACCAAACCACTTATTTCAACTATGAAAACTATTTCCCAGATTCTAAAAGAAATACAAAGTGAAAATGAAATAGAACCTTCTTTTTTATTTCCCTTTCCTACATCTTTAGCTTCTTATTTCCACAAGAACATGTCTGGTGGTGGGGTTGTGGCAGACAGGGGGAGTTTGGGAGTATAAGGCTATGGATGAACTTAGGTCCTCCTCTAGTCCAGTCAGAGAGGGAGCCAGGAGAAAGTGGATAGATGACAAAAAGGGAAACTGGAAGTGAACATGTAGGTTGGGGGTAAAGATTTTATTTATTTATATGACAGACAGAGATCACAAGCAGGCAGAGAAGCAGGCAGAGAGAGAGAAGGAAGCAGGCTCCCTGCTGAGCAGAGAGCCCGATGCGGGGCTCTATCCCAGGACCCTGAGATCATGACCTGAGCTGAAGGCAGAGGCTTTAACCCACTGAGCCACCCAGGCGCCCCATAGGTGGGGGGTAATACACATTTTACAATCAAATGGTGCTTCAAAATAATGCTTAAAACTTGAAATTATACCTCAGTAGAAGTCACTGTATTACACTGTAGAATATTAAACAAAAATATTAATAGGATTATGATAATAAAGTATACCCTTCTCTCCCCAGCAGCAAACCAGCACAGGACTAAAGCACACTGTTCATTCTCCAAAAAATACATGTCAAATCGTAATGACAATGCTCTAGTAATAGACTGGACTAAGGGAAAAGGTACCTTCTATTCCCCAAGGACTGGCCAGAAAATGTCTACTTTTGAAACATGAGGACAAAGGGCAGAAACCCAGAGACACAGTTCCCCCACCACAAAAAACGTTAGGGCAACAATAGGACTAAATCTTTGTATTATTTCCCACAATTCATATTCAAGTTTATATTCCTTACTAAGCCCCTTCCCTTCATTCTATGGTTTGAATTGGAAGACTCTTGAGTTTTGGACACAGATACTCTCTCTTTCTACAAAATTACCCAAAACATCAGACTTTTAACTGTAGAGTGCTCTAGGAAAAACACCTAACCAAAATAAGCAACTCATCACCCTCTTCCTTTCAACATGTTTCTCCCTCAAAGAAAGAGTAAAATCATTTGAAAAATTTAAATCGTCTAAATTAAATCACTCCTCTTCCTGAGTGGGAAGGTGGCTACTGGCAAGGTTGTCTTGATGTATAAGTCAGAAAAGTAAGAGGATTAATTTGGAGAACTGAAGAATTTCTATTTTAAAGTCAGCATTACCTATAGGGAACACATTCCATCTATCAAAAGAAATCCTAATAATAAGGAGGAATCGTGTCATGTTATCGAAATAAAAAACAGTGGCAGTCAAAGAGAAAATTGTCCTGTTTTGCAGGATATTGGCAGTTAAAAAAAAAAAATAAAAAGGAGGCGGCTTCACTGGGTACAGTAGTAATTTCCCTTGACTTTTTAAAGATCTGTCAACACAAAAGATCACCATGAATTACATCAATTGGCTGTCAGTCACTTTTGAAATGTTTCATTGCTAAGCATAGAATAGACTATTAAAACACTCTAGGATTACATTAGATACCATGTCATTTTCAAAGGGAATAATGTCTGTTAATGGGGTCTAAATGATCTCTACTCCTGAATGACAGCTAACCAAAATCCTTACAAGGGCATTTACAAATGTAAAGCCAGATACTGTGGGGATAATTCTGAACTTAAGGACGCAGTGAAGCAATTTCAGATATCAACTTCCATCAGATTCTTGAGCTCCTTTGATATTTTTAATCCTCAACTTCCCACTCTCTTACAAAAATATATCACTGCAGCAATCCAAACTGTCCTTAACATTGTTTCAAGGACATGGTATTAGCAACAGATTAGGTATTGGTTATGCTTATATAAAGTAGAGTTCTGTGAGGACTGTCTGAAAAAAAAAAAAAAAGAAAGAAGAAAGAGAGAGAACACTATAAAGCAAGCAATCACCTCTCACAACTAAATGGCAGGAGTCACTTAGGTTAAAAAATCCATTAAGAATCGAAAATTTTTCTGTCTCTCATTTCCAGAAGCAGAGAGAATCTAATGAGGATAGCACAGAGGAGATGGTGGAAGTCACCTGTTACCTTCTCTTGTTTCCCAAAGCAGAGAATGCAGGACATTCAGGCTCCAAAAGGACTAACCCAAAGCAAGAAAATGAGAAGTCACACTCCCTTCTCCACACCTCTAAGACTTCTCCACTGTTAGATTTGCAAGGTAAGGAACTAAATAGCAGTGCTGGTTCCCATTCACAAAAATATGATCTCCCAAAGATTTCCAGGAATTTTGTCTCCATTTCACCCCAGCAAAAATACAAAAAGCTGGGTAAACGACTCATTTTTTACCAACTCCAAAGCCAATACCTAAAATACTGAAGAACTTGGAACTACTGGTTCCAAATTCACAGGTCTAGTACAAGGATTATATCTGATAGGACTTAATTATAAAATATTAGCAATATTATTAGCAATATCATTGTTGTTAACAGCAGATGCTGAACACTGTTATGTGGAGATAACACAGGATAGAACCATGTGGTCATCAGTCAAAATAATATTCAAAAGAAAGGCTGAATGAAAAGCATTGGTTATTTATTCAGGTCTCCTGGGGCACTATTACAAACATAATAAAATATATATATAAATATTTAATATGGTATCACTAATAGAACTCTTAATTTCCTTAACTTTATCCTAATAACCTACCTACTTTCCTTTTTTCTTTCTTCTCTCTTCCATCAATAAAGAACAACTATGTGCCAAGGAATGAGAGACAGCTGTACAATCATACCAAGACAAAGTCCTTGGTCTTGTGGAAATTAGAGTAACCACACACACATAGAAACATATAGCATAATGTCAAGTAGTAATAAGCACGGGGAACAGCAGTGAAATAAGGAATTACATGGTGATGGTAGGTCTCAGAGTGGTCAAGGAAGGCCTCCTTAAGGAACTGACATTTGAGTGGAGACTTAAATAAAGTGCAGGTTTATTATGTCTATCATCTATAGTAAATACATTTTAAAATCCAATTTATATCTTTTTTTTTCAAATTGTGTAATATGCTATCTTAAATCTTAGTTGTTGTTGTTGTTGTTGTTTTTTAATCATTTTTTTTAATTTATTTTCAGCATAACAGTATCCACTGTTTTTGTACCACACCCAGTGCTCCATGCAGTCCGTGCCCTAATACCTACCACCTGGTTCCCCCAACCTCCCACCGCCCCCCCGACCTCTTCAAACCCTTCAGATTGTTTTTCAGAGTCCATAGTCTCTCATTGTTCACATCCCCTTCTAATTTCCCCCAACTCCCTTCTCCTAACTCCCCATGTCCTCCATGCTATTTGTTATGCTCCACAAATAAGTGAATTTATATCTTAAGTTTATCAATTCATTCTTCATAAAGAGATAGGCTGTTTTTTGATTCATCTTAAAATTTTCTTTCAAACTTAAGTAATAAACTGGTGGTTTATTTCCTTTTGCTCTATGATACTGATGTTTTTAAATTAATGTAGTGAAAGAGCGAAGGTTTAGAACAAAAGAAATTGGATTTCAAACCTTACTTCAAATCTTATGTTTTTTAAAAGAAAATTTTGTCTTTCAAAACATCTCAAATTTTATTTCCAAACTACCTACTGGTTATGTGGCCTTAAGCAAAGTTAGTATCTTTCGTCATCTTAAAATTGAGATAACATCAATGTCATATCAAAGAAATAATCAATATAGTACAAATTATTAAATATAAATACTAATATAAATAATAAAACACTGAGTCTAATATATACCAACTTCCTGTAAGCTATTATTGATATGGACTTACTTATTGTATCTCCAGCTAAATATGGCTTAAGAAAATATACAACCATTCTGA